AAAAAAAAAGAATCAAGCATTAAAGGAAGGAGAAAATTTCCACACAGCAGCTGGTACTTTCTTCACAATTTGTACCATGTGTGCAAATACATCATTAAATAAATGATTAGGGGGTATTTATAGAAAGAAGAGGGAAAAAAAGTTCTAAAGTTATTAGTGACTTTCACTCACTCTCTCTCTTTCAGTCTTCTGAATACATCAGTTTATATACCAGTAAGAATGTGATTCTAGCCAACTACACAGTAAAGTATATCTTTATGTCAAGATGTAATTCAAGTTGAAGTTGTAAGTTTATCAATTAAGTCATCAATAGTGTAAACAATAAGTTGAATGTCTGCTTTTTCTTTCATTCGGTGATCACTATCTTTTCGGAGAATAACATCTACATCTGCACCGATCACTCGGTCAGCAACCTGCATGGATGTATGCCAAGGTACAATGTCATCCTTCATGCCATGGAGCAATCTTATAGGGCAGTTCACAGGAATAGGGCTATGTAACAAACAGTGGTATCCAGCTTCTTTAATAAAACTGTATTGAATGTGATAAACTCCTTCTTCAGAGTATTTTGATGGTATTACCCACTCGCCTTTCATCTCTACTTCCTTTTTTGCCTATTGGTAAAGAATGAGGAAAAAAATTAATTGTACAGTATTAACACATGCAACGGTCTTAAATTATCTAAGAAAGGTAGTCCTTGAGGAAGAAGAAAGTTGTTGCTAACTGGTATTGAGTTGGTCCCTGACTCATGAAAACAAAATGTTGCCTGGAGTAACAAAGGAAAGAGATTAAATGAAAAAAAAGAAAAGAAAAATGTGACAATAACCATTATCAATAATCAAATACTCACTATGTGGTGCTAGGTACTGTGACGGGTACATATATTATCTCATAAGATCTTTATAAGAATTCTGTTACTCTATTTTTACAAAAGGGCAAATACAGATTTAGAAAGGTCAAATATCATACTCAAAGTTCAAACCTAGTTAACTGTTGTGGTTTGTACTCAAACTTAGATTTATCTAATTTTATCATATACCAAATTAAATTAGATGTTGTTCTTTCCCAAACAAATGGCAAAATGGAAGGAGGAGAAAGTACAGTAATTTCTTAGAATCAGTCCAGGTATCATTCATATTTATATAACAAGTTTAGGATTAAATATTGAAATCAGATTTCAAAACCATATAAAACTGAAAGTGCCTATAACAGAAATAACTGAAACAGGGTGAGGATGAGGGAAGGGGAGGAGGAAGAATGAAGCATTGAACTAAAAATGAAAAGTAAGACACTGGTTACCCTGGGACAATCACAGCCATACTCATGTGACTTTAGACTGAGTATACAAGAAGTTACAGTTTTTGCTTTCCCAAGTCCTACTGAATGAGAAAAAAAAAATTTTTTTTGATAAAGAAATTTTCCAAATAACTGAACAACTATATCATTTGTATATTTATTACATGAAGAGGAAACACTGGGTATCCTTTGATTCTCGATGACTTAGTTTTTAAAGGCTATATAATAGTTCACTGTAATGAATCTAAGACAATTAACTTAATCATTCCCCTACTGCCAGATACTTCCATGAACATCTTTGAGCATAAAGGTTTGTCTGGATATTATCAATTCTTTGGAAAGGTTACCAGAACTTGAACTAATTAACCAAGATGTACATAGTTTTAAGGCTCTTTGAAGTATATAATATGAAGGACATTTCTGACTAATAAAACAGGTTGACATTTTGTGAAAAATAAAGTATAATATATAAAAAGATAAGCCACATATAACATAATTGACAAAGAAAACAAGAATATAAAAAAAATCAAATATGTATTATACTTATTTGATTTGTATATGGGTACTTAGGTACCCATATTTTATATATCTTTTAATGTTAAGAGTTTTCTTAAATTCTAAAATGATTTATTGATTTCTTAAAAACTATGTATTATAAAGCTCTCAAAGATCTAGCAATTCACTGCACCACAAGATGGACTGGCACAGCAGTGAATCTAAGGTCCCTTCCCAAGGTGGGAAAGATTGGGTAAAAATAAATGACAAATGGAAGGAAGGAGAAATAATAGCTGAA